CTGATCTTATTAAATTACGTATTTGATATATCTGTTATTGAATCTTATTATTCCTGAAATCTATAACTTAACCGAATCGGCCGAAAAATCATTCGGCTAACTTTTATCAGGTGTTTCAGGAATTATGATAATAGCTGTAATGGACCGGTCCTATCGTGAACTGGGACGGACCGGACTAATCCATCCCTAGATATAAGTATTTAATATGAGCTGTTTATTTCTTATTTAACTTCTTACCTATATATACATACGTATATATATTACAGTATTAAATCTAAATTACTCTTTTCTTATAAAAAAATATAGATAAAATTTATGAATTTAAATTTATTTATATATAATTGAAAATATATAAGTAACTCAAGAAAAAGAAAGAGCAACCATTTATACGAAAGTTTAAGATGGTTGAATGACATTTTTGCGTCATGTGAGAATAAAATTAGCACAGGTGATACAGAAATTTCTTTTTATATATCGATCATGATGAAATTAAAAGCCTATGCACCCGAGTCAAAATTTTTATCGAATTCGGACGAATTAATTTCGGCCGAATTTTTACCAGTTGTCCCAGAATTTATGAAAACAGCCGTAAATCCGGATTTGGATATACGTTGTTCAAAAATTGAATCCGGATTCAAATATAAACTCTATCCAGAGAATGTGTACAACCATGTTGACATTTACAGCATGCTCTTTTTCGATAAAATTTGCATTTTTATTGTGTCCTAATTTTGAAAATTTATAGGAACCCTGACCAAAATGTATGTATTACGATTGGTCAATCTTTATATGGCATACAGCATTAAAATGGCATGCGGTTATTACTAGGGATATTGTTCAAGGTGCGTGAGATTTCCAAATCTAATGCAATATTACATTGCATCCAGAAAAATGAGTATCAGTTTGATGCGCCACAATGGGCGTTCTCAAGCGCCTCAATTATTGGGTCAAAGTATGTCGTAAATGTGTCGGGAATTAAATTTTAATTATTAACGGAAAGTATTTTTAATCGATAAATCGAGCTTGTCATTAAGATAAATAAGGTATTTATTACGTTAAAGAAAAATTTTTAATCATAAAAAAAGATCAATGAGTTTACCATTTCAGTCAAAATACTTTTTTTCCCGAACCTCCTTTTTTTCTGCGCTGACTTGTCAAAACTTTATAGATATTAAAGTTAATAAAGTATAGTTCAAGTGTTTTTATACTTTTTATTATAGATTTCTAAGCTATTTAGAATCATCTCAAGCTGAGATTGAGATTTTTATTTTATCTGTCGTTGCAATTGAACATAACTACAATTATTAGAAATCACATTAATGATAATGTTTGAACATATTAAATAATATCATCATTCGTATTTATTGACTTTTATCCAAAATATTGACAATAGCTAAAAACTACGTCATAATACTTGTGCACTATTTCGATCACTATGAATTCGTATCTAGGTTGATGCTTGATTAAATTTCCAATTTCTTATATAAATAAAAAGGAAATTTTAATATATTATATAACATTTGATAAAATAAACATTGACAGAAAAAAAGTTTTATCCGACATGTCTTATGTGAACACCGAACGATTTTTGTGTAAGTTATTCGGCCACCCCCTAATACAAATTCACAAATTTTCATCACCTCTTACAGAGGTGATGAAAATATGTGTATTTGTATTAGGGGGTGGACGAATAACTTACACAAAAATCGTTCGGTGTTCACATAAGACATGTCGGATAACTTAGTTATCAGTCGAGTTCTAGTGATTGATGCCTGATTTTTCATAGTAAATGTCCTAGTGAATAATCAGTTATCAATCAAAACACGACGGATAACTAGTACGTATTGGTTAGTATTTGATTTACTAAAGTGTTTTAGAATCCAGAATCAAGATATTGTATTGTAATTATTACGATATTATATGAAATTTAAGCTAAAATGTTTTAGAATCCAGAATCAAGATATTGTATTGTAATTATTACGATATTGTGTGAAATTTAATCTTCTACAATCGAAATAATTAATCTGTACGTGCTTGCTTCAAGAGCTGTATTCTTCGGAGAATTTATTGCGCACCAACCTGGTACACATTTTCCGAATACAATTATGATACCACCAAAACGCGGTTTAGCACCGATAGTTAACAAGTATGATGACACCCGTGAAATTCATAAAAATATGAGACAACTATTTTTTCACTATAAATTAATTTTTTAAAGTAATAGAAAGCGATTATATATATATATATATTTTAAAAAAAAAATTAATTAGCCAGCTTCACCTTGTGTTTGAGACCAGCCTAGAAAGGCCTCAATATTGAGACTGGTTTAAAATTCCGGTCGGTCCTTATTCGGTCTTTTTAGTCCGATCCATCCCTAACTCAAATTTCGTACAATTTACAAATATAGAATTATGGTGATGCAATGAAGATTTTAAGTGCAGAACTTTACGGTTATATTCCGCCACATCTGCAGTACGTATGTATGTACAAATTTGAGCATCATAGATATGGTAAAATTAAAACGCTGTGCCACATATACTGTACGTATATATGCACGTATTCTTGTTCAAGACTAAATGAAAAGTTCACTAGTAGGTCATGGCGAATACTTTAGAAGCTCCAGAAAAATGGCTCGAAAGGGCTATGTCCGATGGACATATTAATTATCTTGAATATAAAAAATTTACGAACCGTACGGAGATTGGTAAAGGAGGTTATGCAACAGTTTACAAATACGAATGGGAAGATTGCGAGTTAACAATTGCACTCAAATGTATAAATTTCGATAAAGATTTAGATAAAGGCATTATAAAGGACTTTATTAGCGAGGTATTATTTTTATCTATAACTAAAAATTTTTTTCTGCTTTAATTATTAAATTAAATTAATTTTAAATGTTTTTTATATTTATGTATAAAGCTTAAATTATTACAGAGAGTTAGTAACCATCAAAATATAATTACTTTTCATGGAGTTACGAAAGGTATATTTACAATTAATTATTTATGAGATAATAAATATTTTAATTCTAGAGCATTCATTATTTAAATATGAATAAATAGACAACAATGGTTACTATAATATGGTTTTACAATATGCTGACGAAGGAAATTTACGAGAATACCTGAAATTAAACTTTACAAGATTGCAATGGATAGATAAATTACGTATTGCTAAGGGAACAGCACTTGGTCTTGTGTTTTTACATGAAAATAATATCATTCATAGAGACCTTGTAAGAACATTATACGTGTCTTTTATATAACGTTATTTGAATTTTAAAATTTATTAATCTATTCATAATTTAGCATTCCAAGAACATTTTAATTCATCAGGGGCAACCAAAGATTGCTGATTTCGGACTATCAAAACAAATTAATGAGATGTCATTAACTTCAAAATCAGCTGTTTATGGATTGCCAGCATACATCGAACCTAAGTGGTTTGACAACGAGAAATATAAACCTAATATGAAATCTGACGTTTATAGTTTTGGTGTAATTCTCTGGGAAATTTCAAGTGGTAAGCCACCGTTTGAAGGCTCTGCATCAAGGTTTGTTCTTTATTGTCAAATAGCTCAAGGAACTAGAGAGAAACCTATAGAAGGAACACCACCTGAATATGTTGAACTTTATAAAAAATGTTGGGACAAAGAGCCTGATAATCGACCAAAAATGAGTATAATTCTCAAGACTTTAAATCAATTTATCTCTAGTGAAGATTTAAGTCAGCCTATCAATAATGAACTATCAATTAAAAATGATGAAACATTATCTCCACCTTATTTCCTTGATAATACTAACTTAGTAAACTCGTATGAAAAAGATATTACAATGGAAATAAATTATCAGGAAAGTAACGAATGGCGAAATGAAGCAAGTGAAAGTCACGATTTAAATTATCAGGAAAGTAACAAATAGCGCAATGAAGCAAGTGAAAATCACATTTTAAATTATCAGGAAAGTAATAAATGGCGCGATGAAACAAGTGAAAGTCACGATTTAAATTATCAGGAAAGTAACGAATGGCACAATGAAACAAGCGAAAGTCACGATTTAAGTAGACTTATTTCCGGACCAACTCTAGCCTTTATCAATGTGAGACTAACAAACCTTACTGAAAATAATTTTTTTGTAACTTTTTCAGGTTAAGAAATTTACTTATGAATGTTTTTTTTTTTATATACAATTATATTGCAATATTAAAATAAATTAAAAATTGTACCTTTTTAGTTATTAATACAGAATCACATCCACTGGAAATAACGTTTTTGAATGATATTCAAGTATCTTTTGAGCACACGATAATTGGCAAAATGTCTATGAGTAACAAAACGATTAATGTGACACCTCAAAAGAATGTTAAATTAGAAGTAAAATTTATTCCATCGGGTGATTTTAATTCTTTCAGCAGATTTTTGTTTACAAATGAGAAACTTGATTGGCACCTAGAAGGAAACACTTCTGTCAAGTTTATGGCTCAGGATCCGATAAAAGTTAGACTATCTAAACATATTGAATTTGATGGTTTGTAATTAATAATATACTTGAATTTAGAGTCTTTTAAGAGTTTTATTTTTCAATTAAAATCTAAATACGACTCTAAACTCGATTCAGTATTTATGTCTAAAATGCATAGTTAACATTTTTCTATTGTTTCGACATTTATAGGAATGAAAGTTTTGGCTGTTAACAACATTGATGCGCCATCAGAATATCCTGATGGTGGTATTAGTGTTAGCATGAATATAACAAATGCGTCTCAAATCAGAATAAAGTTAGGCAAAACATCTTTTGACATTATATATATGAATCAAATTATTGGTAAAATTTCTTCAACATGTTTTTCAACTGATCGTAACACACTTTCGTTCAGTGGATGTTTACTACCAGCAAATACTAAAGAGGAGATAGATGCGATGACTAATGCATTTTACAAATTTTTATCTGGTGAAGAATTACAGCTTACCTTTGATGCAAGAGGATCTTCAGTTTCTTGGTTAAATAAAATCACACTAACTATAGTTATTACCAAAGAAACAAAGATTAATTTCAACTATGAATTTATTAAGAGTGCATGGGACTTTAAGTTTGATCCGAATGATCAACATTCTCCAAAACTATCTTTACAATACGGGCTAAAATATTCTAATCTATTTCCACTAGGGATTCACGGAATTTCTGGCAAAATTATCTTAATTTATAAAGGATCACAATTTGCTACACTTAGTATTCCATATTCAACAGCTACAGATTCTTTAGGTATTATCGAATCAAGCTTTACAACAAAACTTAAAATAACCTCAGAAGATTCTAAAGATTTATTTAATGAAATTGCAAAAAAAATATTTATGGCAGAAGATGTTATTTTCACTGTAGAAGGGGTACTAAACGTAATATTAAAAACACCAATTGGTGACATTGATATGAAAAAAATTCAATTTAATTTTGACAAAAACATTAAGTGTAAAATTCAACCTGGAATAATAATTAACTCTATGGAAATTATTGATGCAACGAAAGATGCTATCGAAATTAGAGCATCAGCCACCATAACTAATCCATCAAATATTAGAGTTGACCTTAGTAGTAATGTCGAATTTGATCTTATCTCTGATCAAAATATTAAAGTTGCAAATATGATCATAGAAAACTTTAAATTAAAACGTGGAAATGAAGATGTTATTGTTAAGTTAAAGTATTTTGCAGATAAAGATCCTGGATATAAAATTATAGAAAAACTATTTAAATGGAAAGATTGGTGTATTATCGATTAAATCCAGTAATAATACAACTTTGATAGATTCATTACGAGAAGTTTTTAAAGCTATAAAGTTAGAAGCTTTGTTTCCAGGCATAAATGCGCGATTTATTAATGAAATAGAAGTTTCACTCCGTACTAAAGACTCATTTATGCTTCATAACCCACTTAAAACTAAATTATATATATTTGGTTTTAATTCTAAAGTGTTTAATCTGGAGAATAAACAGATCGCAGTTGGAATAACAGAGCGAAGTGATGTTGGGACTGTTGTTGAACCAGGACAAGCTAAGAGAATTCGAATTGAAAACACAAATATGGATATAGGAAATGCTATTAGAAATATTAAAGATTGTGTCAATGGTGTTAAAGAAAATGTTGAATGTGTTTTAATGTTTGGCATTGGTGAAGATATAAATAATCTCTTTAAAATTAATGTAAGTTTTTTATATTAATGTTTAATGCTTACGATTCTGCGCATAACTATATACTGATTTTACTTGTCAATTTAGCACAACAAGATATTAAAGTTGTTTGGGGTGTTTTTTTTAAGTTTTAAAATTGTAAAATTAAATATAAATAAATTATACTGTATACTCTTATTACAGAATTATCGTCCATCAACGAATGTCTTGTCCGTTTTTACCATTTTTACCAATCATTTTATTTATGTGAAAATTTTAAGTCTCGTGACCAGTGTTGGAAATCTGGTTTGAGATTTATGTTCTTATGAGAATAAATTTATCTCAACATTAAAATTCTTATTTTTAAATTTCGGAAATATCTCGCCTTTTATGTTCATTCATTTCCCTTTCGGATGATTTTGGAATTTTGTTCGATTCCTAATTTTATATAATACTTATATAGAGAACATACTTTTCAAGTATTATGTTCACAAATTTTTTTCATAGAGAAAATTTACAGACATGAGAACATAAGATTTCCAATACTGCTCATGACTATGAGAAACTCGTGTCAAAATAAGGTAGATATGTGAAGAGGATTGATAGTAATGGCAAACGAAACCTCGAGGTCTTGCGATAGCGAAACGCAAACCTTTGTTTCGTCTTTCGTCAATTAAAATCTAATAAAAGACGAAAATACAGATGAATGTTGTTGAAACTCGTTGAAGAAAACATGAATAATAAAATAAATGACAAAAACAGAAATTATATTATGTAATAGTCGCTTTTAACAAGTGTTTTGGTTTAGCGGGAGCACTAGTTTCGTCTAATATAAAAAACATGATCAATTTACATTACATTTATATTTTTTTTCCAACAAAAAAATTCTAATCACTCGTTATAGGTGTCTTTCTGTTCATTTTACCAGTCATTACTGCATTGGTGTCACATGAATATACGAATCTCGCATATAGTTTTTTACTAAATTTAGGATTAAGGGTTAGATATATTGGTTTAAATTTAGTTAGAACCCTAACCCTAATTATTTAGTACATTTTTGAGATATAGCGTTGCGGTAATGATCACCTTAAGATTTAGCAATACCCATTGTTGGCGGCAACGTCTAGAGGCTCACGGATCTAGATAGTCGCTACTGGAGTACAACACACAACAAACCAACAAGGGTGAGGCGGTTAAGATTTGGCGAGGTAAGGGTTAGTTTGTTACGGGTTTGAGAATGCTACGAATGACTTTAGGAAGCAAAAGGTACTATCGAAACTTTATTTGATCAGAATCGAACTTTATTATTTTTTTTCCAACTGAACTGCCTTTTTATCAGAACCCTGTTTATACAAAATTTTACATTTAAAAAAGAAGAAAAGAATCCCAAATCCAATCCCTAATCAATCACATCATCGCTACGAAATTTTAGTGACTTTAGTCACTTGTTCCTTTTGCCTACCCGACATGGACACGGCCACACGATTTACCTGATTTACTTCTATTTTTATTTATTTATACCCGCAATGCCACCGCCTCATCTAACCAGGTGGTTATCCCATGGTTCTTCCTTGACGCCTCATCCGGGAGCTCATCATTCCACGGTCTTGGGACCTTCTTGATACAGATCACATCATAGATGCGATCATTATGTCATCATCATCGTTTCCATTCATCCCTTTGACGTTCTTGGGGCTTTTTCAGGCTTGGCGTTATTCCATGTTTTGCGGGGCTTTGGGGAAGACTGATTTGTGGGGCTTCGATTCGGGGACTTGGTCACGTTTTCGGCTCTCGTGACTACGAACATCATCAACACCAATTGAAAAATAGTTTAGGTCAATTTTTATTGCACTATAACTTGTTATTAAAATTATACTAGAGTTTGGAACCGGCTTTATTTTCATATTTAAAACCGGGTTTAATCAGTTTTAACATATGAAAATAGAAAATAAACCGGTTTCCGACCTCTAAAAATTATACTACAAATTTAGTAACTAGAGTCCTCAAGCACAAATCTAGATGCGATTTCCTAGTGCGAAAATATTAAGACGTAGCTTTAACTATTTTCAAAAGATTTTATTATTGGGACTTTGCTCAAGCTTCATAATTACTGATAATTATAGATCAAAATAATAACATTAATCAGTGCTTAAGTATTTTAAATAGTTTATTAAATGATATCAGGTATCGAAAATTTTGCAAATACAATATATATATAAACAGAAGAAATAACAATATAGTAATTTTCAGAAAACGAATAAAAGTTTGAAAATAACTACTTACCTTAATAATTATAAATTTTTATAAGTTTGACTTGAATGTTATACTCCCTGAATATTTTTCTTTAACATAGAGTGTTCTCAAGCATCTCAATCAATTGATTAAATAATGACCGTGATGACGCTCAAGTATCACAATCAACAACAATATTTACAGTATAAAATTAAATACTTTAGCGTACTCTTATTATTTTTAATAATCTTCTAAAACCTAATAAAAAAATTTTTATTTGACCAGCTGCCGAAGCATCAACTTCAGTTGCATCGGCTTCTCCATATATGATTTTACCAATTTAAATCTTTTGTTGAAACAGCAACGCCATTAACTTATGGTGTCGTTAGAGAAAGCTGCTTTACGGCAATAAGAAGTAAAAAATTTTTTTCAGTTAATAATACTTCAAAATTTTTTTATTTAAATACAATCTATAGTAATTCTGCACATGCACTAAAAGTAGTATAGATAATAAATATGATAATGTTTTCGAACAGAGTTATAACTTTCATTATCCGTTAAATATGGAAAACCATCTACCAAAATCCTAATTTTTGGTATTCTTTATTGAGAAAATTAAGTTTAGATGAGTGAGAAACGGAATAGCAATATTCATTTTAGTTTGATAAAAGTTAAAGGGTGTTTTTTTTTTGGATTCGGTATAATTTGTTATGTAAAAATTTGAAATTAATGCTTGATAGATTTATCAATGGCAAATTTTTGAAGAATAAAGATTGATTGACTTGTTCATCAAAATGGTAACTCACTTAGGGCGTTCTCAAGCGCCTCAATTAATGGGTCAAAGTATGTCGAAAATGTGTCGGAAATTAACGGGAAAGTAATTTCAATCGATGAATAGAACTTGTCATCGATAAGTAAGGTTTGAAAGGAAAACTTTTAAATAGTAAAAAAATGAACAGTGAGTTTACCATTTCAGTCAAAAAAATTTTTGCCCGAACCTCAGTGAATTCTGCTGTGAACTCTGCAGTGAATTCTGCAGAATTCTGGAAAAGAAAAAACCTGTAATTGTTGATCTTCCAAAGTTTCATTTTCAGAAGATAAATGATTATTAATTATACTATGACAACACGTGTAAAGTCAGTAATATCTGGGTTAAAAAAAGATGAAATCTAAGATATTGTTTGATGCGTTATTTCTATAATATTTATTTTTAAATTTTTTGCTACACCCAATGATATATACAGTACATATAAATAATCACACTGCAATTGTAACAGGTATGCAGAGTGTTTCTAAAAAATCAGAAATTCTGAATTACGTATAAAAAATTCGATTCTCAATGTTAAACTCCTTTTTCTTGTATGGTAATAGACTATGCCACATGTTTATGCTTAAATAAATAAACGAAAAAGATTTACAATTGTACTTAAACAGGTTAGACAAGTTAGGCACTCTTTGTATTCCTGCTAATTACATTGTTGCATTATTATTAGAATGTCGTATGGTCATGTGCCTATTTACGGTATGTACTGTACGTATTAGTATGTATTAGTATGTGTGTACCCATACAGTACATTAATCACCGTTATATCTAAAAGTAATATGTATAAAATAGTTAATATTTTACAGGGGTAGTTCTGCAGTTAACATATAATTAAGTAGAACAATTAGAGCGGCCATCATTGTTTATTATTTGACTTTGATAATTCGTTTTTAACCTTTCAAAACAAGATTTAAGATTATTAACAGCTTGATGCTAAATTTTGCAAGGGAATATCGCTTAATTAGGATTCAGAAGGTAATTTTTAACTTTCACATTAAACCTGATCTAATAATTTGGTTATAAAAACGTGTAATTGTATCATTATAGTTAATCAAATTTGCATAATCTTATGCATCAGTGATACAATAGACATAAATCAACAAATACGTATATAAAACGAATTTTTTTTTTTCAAAGATATATTTCACGTTTCATCTTTTTTATTCATTCTGCTATAAACTTGAATAAATCATAAAAAAAATTATACAAAATTAAAAATGTCTGCAAGTAGTTCTAAGTTAACACGTAAATCAAAGAAAAAGTCCGTTTGGTCTAATTATGATACTGAAACTCCCAATTATCCTGGCTTACCCGTATGTCGTCAATGTAATCAAGTTTTTTTAAATGAAACCGATGTTTCTACTTTGCAAAATCACCTTGCAACTCATAAAACTACTACTTCTACAAGAGGTCAAGTCACTCGTCAGACTGGTTCACATAGTGGTGAAGAAAAAAAAAAGCGTGATGATGCTTTAATTAAATGGATCGTAATGGATTTACTATCTTTTACTATGGTTGAGGAACCAAGTTTTAAAAATCTTATCAATCATCTTGATCCTTATTATGTAATGCCTACAAGTCGTTCAATAAAAGAATGGATTATTAATGAATTCAAAGATCGTCGTGCTAGAATCATTAATGAACTTGCTCAAATTCCTGGAAAATTTTCTCTTACAATTGAAACTTGGACCTCAAATGATAACGAAGCTTATATGGGGTTTACTGTTCATTATGTGGATTCTAATTGGCATCTTCACCGTCACTTATTAGAGGTAATCACTTTCGCCGTTGATTTATCTTATGTTATTGAAAAAATCTTTAAGGAGTTGAACTTAGATAAACAACCTCTTGCTCTTACAATGGATGATGAATCAAGAATAGATGCTTATGAAGAATCTTTTACCCAAGAATTCAAAGAGGAATTTGAAAATAATATTCGTTTTTCTCATTATAAGTGTGCTGCTCGTGTACTAAACATGGCTGTTAAGCAAGCATTAAATGTTTATAAAACTTCTATTGAAAAAGCTCGTTCGCTTATGACAAAAATTGCTTTTTCTGATCATTTTCCTGATGAATTGAGCGGTTTATGCGAATCCAAAGGTGTTCCTTATATAGAACCTGAAGTAGATATTGAAACTGAGTGGAAGACCACTTATGATATGTTGAAAAGTTTACAAACAATGGATTTAGCAATTCAGGTACTTTGCGATAGAGATAATTCAATTAAAGAACGTTATTTAAATGCCGATGATCAAAAAAATTTACAGGTAGGCAAATTCTTTTCTTTGTATTAATAAATTAATTTACATTATTAATTATAAATTTACATTAATTATAAATTTTAAAAAGCAAATATTAACGTTAATAATTATTTTATAGGATTTACTCGCCTTATTGGCTCCATTTGATGTAGCCACAAAAGTTCTTTCTGAAACAACTTACCCAGGGCATGGTGACATACATTTCATATTCGTTGGTCTTCAAAAATTTTTAGCTGATTATATGGATCAAAAAAATTCTTCCCAAAGTCTTGCTGCTTCTTTGATTCATCAGAAAATTGATGAATATTGGTCTACATTGGATACTACTTCTATGATTTCTGCCATCCTTGATCCCCGTGCTAAACTCAAGGCATTTAATAATCCTGAAAGAGCTGAAAAGGCTTATGAAGCTGTTAAAGATATTTTAAATCTGTATATCAACCAACAAGTCTGCTCCATTAATGATAGTGGTAATGAAAATGGAATTCTACAATCACGTCAATTATTTTTGAATTTATGTGATCCACAATTAACGAAAACAACAATTTCCATCGATGCTATCGATGCAGCTATTAAAGAGTTAGATGCTTATCTAGGAATGAGACTTTCTGATCAAGATACCAAACCGTTAACATGGTGGAAAACCTATCAAAATGATTTCCCGACTCTCGCTAGAATAGCACGTGACTACCTCTCCATTCAGGCTACTAGTGTTACAGCTAAACAAGCTTTTTTATTTAATGAAGAAGAAGATTACGTATTGGTCATGCGCAATCGTCTTCCTGAAGAGATCGTAAGGGAACAGCTGTGTGTTAAGAGCTGGATTGAGAATAAAAGAGGGGAAAAATGAATCATGCATACTATAGTTAGTAATCTTTGATTCTTATATCATCTTCATAATCTGCTTTTTTTTTTTTTTCCCTTATATCTGCTTATTTCTTATCATGAATTTTTTTGTATCCATTATCTGCTTATTCATATCTTGAATTTTCATATCCTGATAGCTTTATTAAAAAGTTTTTTCAATTCTGTGCTAAAAATTTGAATAGCTTTCCTGATCGATTATTATTTGCAAAACAATTAGAATAATACTTCTGGGCGATTATTATATAGCAAAGCAATTCAATAGTTTCTTTGGTCAATTAATATATAACAAAGCAATTTAAAAATGGATATATTTTTTTTTGACAAATTGTAATGTCACAAAACAATAAAGATCTTTTACTGCTTACGAGTTACATCGTTCGAATTTGTCTAAAAAACAAGTACATCTGTTAATATCAATTTTGATGGTATATGACATAGTTTATATATTGCTATCACAACAAGTTCTCGATTTTGATTTACTACCGGCTGTGATTTATTAAATTTGGCCCGCATTACATAATCATTTGCTCAATTTTTTCTGCCGTAATTAACTTTAATTTTATTCCAAAAATAGGCATTTTGGAAAATAGTAAAATTAGCCCAGGAATATTTTTCATATAATGGGTGGGCAATTTCATTAATAAAATTTTAGTAATTTCGGCCTAAATTTTCGGTCATCGCTCTTTAGCCAATCGAAATTGGTGCGTAATTAGCACTAGGGTTAATATTAGAAAAGCCTGTTGTAAAGTAGTAACTTTGCGTTTCTTTGGAATTAGTTGCAACCTTTGCGACACTCTTTTTGCTGCAAAACTATGTAAGTTCGCAGAGTCACAAGTTCGAAAGCTTATGTCCGTATATTTTTGTGTAATAACGCTCATGAGCATTATTTAGACTAATGGCCCGAATTAAGCTTAATTTAGACTAATGGCTCGAATTAAGCTTAAATTGGGCCAAAATTTGAAATTATACCCCTGCGCGTTATTATCTTATTAATAAAATGAATATCAATCATAAAATAATCTAATATTATTTAAATGGTTTTTAAAAAATTTAAGCGATAATTTGTATTTCTTTATTAATTTATTACGATAATATCATATAATAACAATATCAAAAAAAAAAAAAAAGGTTACTCATTTGTCTCCGGATGACTCCTATTTCATTTTTCTGCTTTCAAAATTTTAAAACAGAAATAAGGCATTTTGTACCCAACTTATTTTCGAAATAAGTTAATTATAAATCACCCTGACATCAGTATTGCAGCAAACATTTGAATTTGTAAAAATAGGTATACCATGAGGAAGAGAGATTAATTAAATGGATAATTCTTCGGTTATCGTTGGCCACTACTTACAGTATTCCCGAAAAATAAAACCTCCATGATTAAGATTCGGGTACTAATTTTAATATAATATATCCCAAGTACAATACCTGATTCTTCACACAGTAACCACCTAAATTTGATTCTAGATCAACTTTATAATCTTCTTGTATAGATATTAATGAAATTAAAATAAAAATCAAATTATAGTTAAATTATCGTGTTATCTTTGTAAAGTTTAAAATTAATCTACTATCAAATATTTGAAAATATTCGAACGCTTTGTGTTCATTCTTTTTAACGCTGATTTTTTCTTTATATGATATTAATGACCAATTATAATTATTCCATCATCACCCATGACTGAAATATAACATAATAAACTACGTTATAGATGCATTTATATCAATTATTGGTGCTTTCGCATCTAGGACAATTTAGGAATTTTAATACATTCAAAAATAAATCTTTTTATTTTAGGATAATCTGAAAACAACTTCACTAACAGGGATATTTATCGTTAGTTTCAAGTAATGATCTGAACCGGGTAAAAAATTCTTAATCGGTTAACCGAGTTAACTTACCCGGATACAATCGGTTTAACC